CCTCTCTGAAATGAAGCGAACGCCCTCCATAGGCCAAAGCCATTCCGAGAAATGTATTTACACCTGATTAATAATAAGAACCGTTGTAGAGGCATTAGGTATTTTTGGAAACAGGCAAGATGAAAAATTAGCAACCGCCTTCCCCGGGAATCGAACCACGGACCTCTGAAATACCGGCTCAGTGTGCTGACCACTACACCACGAAGGTACGCTAGGAAGTCGGGAGAAATACCTTATATACTCCCCCTTTTAAAGGACGATAGGTGTTTTTAGGGGACCCAATCGCCAAATCCTGGATGTGGAAAATCCTCATCCAAACCTTTTAGTTGAGGCCCTGTAGAGACATTAGGTATTTTGGAGCAAACAGATGAAAATAGCACGCCTTCGCGGGTCGAACCACGACCATTGAATACTGGCTCTTTGCACCCTACACCACGAGGCACGCGGAAGGGGGAGAAATCCTATACCGTTTTCGGCACCTTCTCAGGTTTCAAAGGTAGCTGGAAATATCCAGAAGTGAGGTCTTGTGAGGTCACATATTTTATGTACTTTTTTCTAATTTTTTCCTATTCTCCAAGTTATTGGTAGTAAGCAAACAGGATATTTTACTATACCGTTAATATATCTGTAATCTGTGGCAGGAAAGATTGATGTATTTGAATTCGAAAGCAGGAAAGTTGGTGGGAGGAAGATTATTATTGTTGTTGTTGTCGTGTGTCTTGTACAGATTTCATAGAAAATGTTGCCAGCCTCAAGGAGGTTGGACTTCATTCCACCCCAGTTTTGAGGGACTGATAGTGATAGTGACGAGGACGTGCCACCACCCCTTTACTATTAATTAATTAGCATATCTGGCCACGTCCGCCTTATACAGAGAAAGCCAGAGAGGCCAAATGGAGGCTTGCACGGGCGCCCAACCCAACGCTGGACCATCCGTTGGCAGTCGCGAACCAATGCCACCAGGTTGACACCCGCCAAATGCCCCGTCCGTGATTTTTGAATCTCAAATAGTAGTGTACACGGCTAAACAAGGGCAATATACATAGTATTTATTTACATCTCTGTAATACATTGCTGACATGCAATCCAGCACTGTTAATACATATCTTTCTATACTACAAACATAACTAATTGCTTTGAAATAATAGACAGACTAGTTATACACAGCACAATATATAAAAATAAAATATATAATATAAAATACAGCCATAGGACCGCTTGCCCACACTATATAAACAATCGAACATACCAGATTACTTATGCTTGAATGTCTGATTTATATTGAATTTGCTGACATACTGACAGTAATAACATGCAATCTGACCCATGTCCATTACTTAGCATTATATGAGTATTTCTGGTCTGTTCCTGTGCCTAAATCTGTTTATGCCTCCTGCTCGCTGCTGAACGGAATGTGCATTCTCCGTGAGAGGACATTCGTTGAACGTATTGTTGCTGTGCCCGATCGCCGCAGCAGCACTGATCGATTGGAATTCCAATCTCTCAAATATACGCGAAAGGGCCCATGCCTGTTGAATACATTTGTGGAGTCAACATTAGTTCCTATCTACATTGGCAGAATGTATGCCCTCGGCGGCCGTGTTTCGTTGTCCCACGCAGCCGCCAGAGTGCTAGAGCTGTGGCGCGCAGATCCGTTTTAAGAGAAACGGCCATGGGATTTGTACTCGACTGCTCGACGTTAGGGCTGCTCTTTGCAAGCCGATCTGCGTTCATTACCAGATTCCGATATGGGCTTTCGTCCTTAGATTAATTTTAATTCTTTATGGCACGAGGTATTCCTGAGTAGTTGCTATTATGGAGAACTGTGGTGGGTTAAGGATGGCGTTAACGTAGAAGGCTGTCTGTTATTATGTAACATTTATTCCTCTGCTGAATTATCGCTTGCGGCATAGCGATAGCTTGGCCTCGCTATGAAACACTATTGTCGCTTCCAAATGCCCCTTCCATTGGCTTACTATTCTACCCTCTTTAAGTGCTGCTATGCACTGCCCACACTGTCGTCTATTTTAGATCCATCCGTATAATAGGTAACATCTATGTTTGTGATCTTGTGGTCTTCTTAGTTGACATAACACCCCGTCCTTGCAAAGACGGGTGCCGTCAGGCGTGACGCTCTTGAGGTTATCGCAGTAAACACATCTCCCCAAATTGCGTTGTTTGGCCGAGTTGCTTGACTATCTGGTACGTAGCTTCCTCTCGACACTAAGGACAAGGTAGTTGCCACCAGGATGCCATGCATTGGTCGGGGAGTTCGAATTGCTCGCGGATTAAAAAAACGGACTTGATGCTTTGCAATGCTTTACTTTGCCCTGCATCGCCCAGCCAGACAGGCAACACTGCTCCATAGTCACGATTTCTCAGTGACGGTGTTATAGAGGACTTGAGGATTGGGGGTTGAACCCCAGCGTATCTTCATCATCTCAAGCTGCTGTGCGCTGTTTAGAGAGGCACATCGCTATCCAATTAATTGTCTCAAATTTATCCCAGTATTGAGTTCTCGCTTGATTGCAAGTCGTTCCCTTGACGTGATGCGTGTTGTCGCGTTAGAAGTCTCCCTTTTGTGGAATCAACATTTTCTTCGCACGTCAACTTCAGCGTGCCACATCGCTCCTGAAGAGGCGCAGGATCTGCATTTCTCTCAATTGCTCCGTGGGGGCCTTGTACTATTAGTGCCGTGTCATCGGCATATGCAACTATTTTCGTGTGACTTAGCCACGGCTGTGTAAGTATACTATTGTACGTTAAGTTCCATAGGAAGTGTCCCGCTCAGGAACCGTTTTTGAGGAACAGCATCCCGCAGGGTTGTCAGAGAGTTTTCCCCTCTGCCCTACCACCAACCCACACGAGAGGAATTTCGACTCGCCTCCAGCTCGGCTCGACTCGGCTCGCATTCAGAGTGCCTCCATGCCGCAAAGACACTATAGATTTACAAACATCCATGCCTTCTCCGGGATTCGAATCCGGGTGCTTCACTACTGCAGTAGATCCCCTAAGCACTGTACCGTCTGGGCGGCAGGAAGTTTAGTCTTTTTTCTAAATAAAATTACAGGGCTAGCATAGGGATAACTCGTGGAAATTACTAACATTACTGAAATATGTTTTTAGTAATATTCCATTTATTGTAGCGGTATGGTTTCACCCTACACGGACTGCTGTCTTCCGTTTCATTCTTATGACTCATCATATGAGTTAAACCTAAGGTTATAGAAATATTAGGTTATTTCGAAGCAGGAGAGATGAAAAATGAGCAATACCGTCGCCGGGAATCGAACTACGAACTTCACGAATAAGCGCCGAGTGGGCTGACCACTACACCACGAAGGCATGCTAAGAAGGCGTGAGAAATACCTTATATATTCCCCCCTTTAAAGAGCGACTGGGGATTAGGGGACCCAATCGCCAAATCCTGATGGTGGATAATCATCATCTACCACCTTTTTTATTACTGGCGCCACTGTAGAGAAAAAGTTATTGAAGCAGAAGACATGAAAAATGAGCAATGCTCTCGCCGGGAATCGAACCACGAACTTCTCAAATACGCGCCGAGTGTGGTGACCACTACACCAAGAACACATGCTAAGAAGGCGGAAGAAATACCTTATAGGATCTCATCGAATAAATCTGAAAAATTTCTTAGCAATTGTACCCACTTTTTGATTCATTCCAAGAAAACTTATCTTTAAAGTCTAAAGCTTACGACTATTTCTCTTTTTCAGGTATTCTGTTAAATTCTAACAGTAAAGTCTTATCCTGAAAAATCAGTTCGTGCACTAGCTCCCTTCCAAAAATCCAGTTCCAAAATCAAGCTCGCCTGCAAATTTCTAATCGCAAAATGTAAGAATTTATTCTCCTTATTCTTAATATGCAATTCAAAGTCATGCTCTTCAAGCATTCGCAATATTTCTCTTGTACCTCTGTCTGTGTAACCCCAAACAGTGCCTTACACTAATTTTTTTTTTTTTTTTGCATTTTATTGAAACCTTATTCCATTAAAATGGTGCTCTGAGTCCCTATATCTAGCAAAGCCACTGACGGGAATTCGTTTTTGCGCAGTGTATTAAATTTGCATAATACTTAAATGTAATCAGTCAGTGGAAAAGCTATAAAAATCCTCACCGTCAAGAAAAGAAGGATTGAATACACTTTCTATATTAAATCTCAGTTTGATGGTGATGAAATGTAATACAAAGTTTTAATTTTTTGGTCAGTACTGATTTCCAATAATTTATGTCGAATTTCAATTTGACGTTGATGAAATATGGCTGAAAGATTTAATCTCCTGGAGACTACAGAATATATTTTTCCATAGCTTCACTTTTATCACAGTAGTGTCTTAAAGACTAATAAATAAACAGGGAGATCGCAGAAGAGAACCATAGCTCAAGTTTTTTGAAGAATTAACATGGTTGGCTTGTCCGAAACGCTTTGGCTATTAAACCTTTAACAGCAAGGGGCATTAATTCCAGTTATGTCAAACTGAGAAGAACATTAAGGCAAAAATATAAATACTAGATATTATTCAAAATACAGGAAAGGGAAATGAAATAAAGCGAATGGGAAACGGTTTTGAATTAATAAAATTGTTTCGTTTTCCTGATTTCCCTTCTGAGTGAATTACAAGTTTCCCTTTGTTTTAAAAGTTAAGATAGTTTTTAAAATGCCACCTTTCAAGTTATGAATACTCAAAATTTATTGCACCAATGAGCCATTTCAAACATAAAAAGAAATACAGAAAATATTTGTTGCGTTACAACAAGGTAATAATAAAAATAGCCCTTCGGATAAAATATTATCGAAAAATATCTGTACTCCTTACACTTGCACCAGTACGTAAGTTGTTTAAAAAATTCATTACTTTTTGAGGGGGGGGAGAAGGTGAAAGGATTCTTTTGAATAATTCTGTCCTCAGAGGTTTTGCAGGCGAAATAATTGCTACAAAAATTACTTGTTTTCTATATAATGATATGTAAACAACTTACCCACAACGTCTAGATACCCGCTTTGGCTTTTCATGGGGGAGGTGTTGATTTGGCACATAAATTCCCCTTTGTCCGATTCTTCAACGTCTTTAATGTTGAGCCACCACGTTCTGTAACCATTGTGGGAAATACTGTAACGGACATTGCGCGTGATCACACGGTCGTGCAGCGTCAACAAAGTGTGTTTATCAGTATGAATCCATGCAACCTAGGAAAAGGAAATCAATTGTTAAACACTTACAAACCTCCTAAAATCATTTTTAATATTTAGAACCTCGAAAGCAGTAATAAATAAGAAAAATATCTGCGAATTATTAGTAAACAATGTGTTAAGAACAGCTTCACTTGAAATTAACATTTTTATGTTCACGCATTTCTTCAATTTTCTTACTTTTTTTTTTTTTTTTTTCTAAAACCTGAAGCACATTGGCAGGAATTAAAACAAATTTCAAAAGGTAGTCGTTGGATATGTTCTTGAGACGTGGAAAAAGGCAGAGGGAAAGAAACAAAGGATTTTGAACTATATATTGCTGGATGTCTTAGATATATTTGCGTTTTTCTAAAAACTTATTATTTTAAGTTTCTTTCTCGTCACATTGTAAGATTAGACTTAATTAACTATCTAATTATAATTGTTAATCTTTTGGGGCTTACCAGCGGCCGAGCGGTAAAATCGCTAAGCACTGGTAGTTCAGACTTGGGTACGAATCCAGACCTGGGCCGGGTGCATGGACGTTTTCGTGCTTTCCCCATCCGTAACGTGTATACGAGTCAATTTCCCTCAGAAAGTCCTCCAGGAAAGCACACCTTCCCTTAGGCAGATAGCCCTAGTGTTCTATGCCATAATCAACTAAAGCGTTAATCATTCCGTTTTCCGAAGAAGTTTCGTGGTCACCCTAAATGGAAAGACTAAACTTACATAACACTGATGAGCGGTAAAACTATAAAAATCAAAGTTTTATTAACATAACGTCTTGTTATGTTAATAACAAGACGTTAACTTACTAGCCATCGCCTCCTGCGCGGTTTTTGGAATTCAGATGCTGAAACACATAGTTGAGTGTTTCAAGTTAGACATGTACAGTTTGAAACAAGGCAGGCACCTTTGAATTGTTGTAGGCGTATCAGATATTGTTGGGCCTTTTTATCTACCATTTCTAACTGTCCCAGTTTTGAGAGACAGTACACCGGAGGGTACGATCTGAACGTCTCGTGCAACTCTTCCCCTGCCACCAACTTCTAGAGACCTCTTTCGGCTTGCGATGTATTTTGAGTGCCCCGTTACTCCACAGACACTATACGCTTACGAAACGTTATGCCTTCTCCGGGATTCGAGCCCGATTCCATCGGTGCGGCAGTCAGCGTCACTAACCACTATACCAGCTGAGCATCTCTCAAACTAGAGAGCTATACTTCCCGGCTGCCACAGCATTCTCTAAACCAGCGATTCTCAACCTTTTCACTGACGCATATACCACCTAAACAAAAACTGAAAACTTTTAGTACCACCACTACAAAGTACTACTACCACCATCCCTCTTCAACAAAGCTCAGATCGCATAAAATTTACGAGTGTTAGAGAAAATCCTCAAATCAGGATGTTGAGGTTTTAATTTTTGATTTTAATAGTTAAAAATACTTTGCTTCTTTGCGTATTACATATTTTTTTCTTGTGTAACCGGTTGAGAACCCTTGCTGTAAACTATAGATTTGCTCGCTATTTAAATTTAGTCTAACTTGCATTCTGGTGACGGGCGACTGAGGAAATAGAATGTTCAGAAAAGAATTATCATAAAAATATCTTTACTCATAGCACCACTCTTTTAAGGAAAACGAGAGGATGTATAACTGACATACTAGATAAAAGCGTGAAAGATCTTTACACCATCCAAGACTTCACATTTCATGTACCATAATTCTCAGGCTTCCTACAGAACTGTGTAGTTGGTATGGAAGTACTTTGTAAGTAGTATAGCTCCAGAACAACACTGCAATCCTCAATCACAGTAAGTTCCTCGTGCACACAGTAAGTGTGCACGAGGGGAGAGTTAAAATGTGTTACAGATTTGAAATACAGTATTTAGTGAAACTTAGAACAAGTGCTTTATCTGAGCTTAGTGCTTTGATAAATATTGTAACCTGACTTACGCGTGCTCCGCTAAGATGTTCTATACTGATTTAAAATTTATTTACCGAGACTTTGAAGTTACAAGTTGAACAAAACGTATCTTTTTTCTCAGTTTTAAGTAGTATTGCCATTGTAAATATATATATGTGTGTGTGTGTGGATGTATTTGCTCATCATATTGCAGAGCGTTTATTTTAATTGCGAAGACAATAGTAAAGTGTCTAATCTCGGAGTAAATGTTTGAAACCATTTCTCATATTTTACTGATAATTCAGAGTCACAAAACGACAACAAAGAATAAAGTGATCGTAACAAAAAAAATTATACAAAAAATAAATAAATAAATAAATATGAAAGTGTTCTATGCCTATTATGAAAGTGTTCTTTTTTAACGTCTTCTGTGTTACCTTCATTTATTAAATATTATGCTCTTCGAAATTAAACAATAAAATTTAGTGCAACAGCAATATCGCAAAATAATTTTTAAATGAGAATATGTTCAGAATTTCCGATACACAGTCTTGTGCGCTGCAGATAAAAACTTTTTTTTTGAGGTTCTTAATCAAAAACTCATAAATGCTTTACAAAATATGAAATAGATAAAAAACAAATTACAAGTTTGGGCTTCATTCCAGATGCCCATCTTTGGGTAGAAACGTACGTTATTCAAAATTGGATGGCTCTATTTATTGTTGTTTTATCACAGTGCGAGAAACATGCATGCATTTATGCAAATTCTTCATTATTTAGCTTCTTTAAATATTACATAGAGCGATAATATTGGGTGGTAACATTTTCAAAAGTGAAACGACATTTATAGTGAAACAACGCAAAACGTCAAAAGGAAATTAATAGCCCTCTGGGCTTACCGCCCTTGGGCTAAGAAGTGTATGTAAAACACCTGCAAATATAGATGACGATATTTCATTATCAAGTTACTAATATTTAGTTGCTCTTTTTAATTCTTTGTACGAAGTAAAGTGAGTACAATTTCTTTGCGTGATATCTGTATCTACGAACCGAAGGAAAAACTCTTTTCTCCAAATCGTTTTTCTTTTTGAAAAATTGATTCAGAAGAGATTTTATCACGACGTCTGTACTCACATACGTACGTATGTATCACAACTCGAAAATGAGTAGACATACAACGTTGAAATTTTGTATGTGGGGCTTCTATAACATCTAGTTGTGCACCTATCTTTTTCTGCTGCAATCGTCCGTTGGTATATATATATGTGTTTTTAGTATCAGAAAAAAAATTAAAACAAAACTATCCCAAAATTACGTTGAATCAGATTTTAATTTATTCCTTTTATATGTACTTTTATGTATTTCTGTTGTTTTCGGGATTTCTTCTAGTTTAAAAACACTGAATCTTTATTTTACATATTTCATGGCCCACCAGCGGCAGAGCGGTAAAGTCGCTGAACACTGGTAGTTCGGGTCTGAGGTTCGAATCTCGCGAACGGGCTGGCTGCATGGGTGTTTTCGTGGTTTTCCCCATGTGTAACGTGTATACGAGCCAGTTTCCCTTAGAAAGTCCTCCACGAAGGCATCCCCCCCTTTGGCAGATAGCCCTAGCGTGCTTTGCCATAATTAAATACACCTTTCATATTTTATGGATAAGTTTAGTCATTTTATTGGTTTTAAATTTCACTCCTTTCATGTCACTCCTTTCATAGTATGGGTTCTAAATTTCTTACTATTTTAGCTTTCTCTCTTTATATATATCTGTTCGCAAATTGTACATTTATTTCTTTAAAAGTCAGTAAATTATGCATTAGTCTTGACGCCTTTAGTAATTTTCATGCAATAGTATTAGAATTATCCATATCCGAAAATTTTAAGGGTCGCTGGGCCTGATGTGGAGGCTATTTCTTTACATTTGAAGTTGTTAGTACAGCGAATTAAATCAGATGGTCCACCATTTTCAGGGTCTTTTTGCAACATTAAATATATATTTCTGCACCAAAAATTTTGTCTTGATGCCCTTTGATCGAATTGCTTGTTTTGGAGTAGTAACTCGGATTTTAGTAGTAGAAATTGTTTTCTTGAACAGTTTTTAACGAGCCGAGCAGCAGAGTGGGTATATATATATATATATACTTTTGGTGCGGTCGATTGCAACCAAAAAGAGAAGTGGATAACTATATGTTATTGCAGCTACACATCCAAAGTGTCACCTTTCTAAGGCTTCTCGTTTTTGAGTTATGCGAGATACATACGTACATACTTACGTACAAACGTCACGAAAAAAAATCTCTTTTGAGTCCATTTTTTAATCAGTTTTGGGAAAAAGAGACCTTTATTCTGTCTGTACGTACAAATGTGACGAAAAACATCGTTCAAATGGATTTGAAAGGGACAAAATGGATATTTTCGTTGAAATAGGATACCCAAAAATCTTTCGCGATTACGATACATCCTTTACTTCGTACAAGGAAGTAATAAACTGATTACCAGCTGAATTTAAAACTTTAAATACTGTACCTTATATTAATCATCAAAATGAAATGCATTAGGAAATACAATAATTAACTCAAAGCAGCGTTAACCTAGAAGAGCTATTAGTCTCAAATAGCATTTTGCGTCGAATTAGTTTTCAAATTGTTGCACCAAATATTATCGCCCTGTATTATATTTAAAGAAATTAAATAATGAAGAATCTGCATGAATGCATATATGTATGTTTCTCGCGTTGGGAAAAAAATACGGTTCCTAAAAACCATCGAATTTTGAATAATTTAGTCCTCCACCCGAATATGGTCACACAGATGCCTAAATCTTGAATTTCGAATATGATTTATTATTTGTTTCATATTCTTTAAACTTTCACGAATTTTTGATTAAGAAACTCGACGATTTCAAGAAAAGCAGTGGCAACACACTGCAAGGAATAAAATATTGTTATCTGCAGCGCGTGAGGTTTTCTATCCGAAATTCTAATGATATTCTGTTTTTAAATATTTTTATCCCAAACGCTGTCGAACCGTGTATATATCTGTAAATGGAAGAAAAAAAAAAGGCCCCTTTGGGCGTAATATAAAATCTCAAAGCTTTCAAACTTTTTATTTTTTATAATAGAAATTGCT